CCACACTGGGGCTGATACAGGCCAGGATGCTCTTGGCCACCTGGGCACAAACTGGTTTCTGTTCAGCTGGCTGCCAACCAACAGCCCCAGGCTGTGCTTTCTGACAAGGCAGAGCCCGCTGCCAAGGAGCAGTGGTGCAGTTCTGTGCTGTGCCACTCCTGCTGTGTGAATTGGAGTCCCTGTGTTTTCTCAGCCAGTGCAACAACTGCTGTCAGCCTCCACCCAGCCTGGGGTTGCACAGAGCTGTAGGTTGGGTTTCTCCAGCGTGGAGGGGAGCTTGTCTCACTTTGTGGGTAAAAGGCAAATAATGTTTCATCCCAATCAGTATGTTTAGGAATTTTATATCTGAGGCAAAAACTCTTCTGTCACACTGGAATCCGAATCAAGTTTCAGAATTTGCCAATGTGCACACCATCCCGTTCTCCAGAAAACAGGACAGAAATCCGACTAGGACCATCTGCTGCATCAGGCAGGGAATGCAAGGATTAGCTCCTGCTTTTCAGACAGTTTCACAGTGTGTCTCACAGGCTGCTGCCACAACAGTTTTCACTTACAACCACATAGAAATGAGGCTGAGCTTTGAATAGTCATTTGCTGCTTGGCCTGTTCAGTTGTATACCTGTGTCAGTTGAGGGACTATTCTGGTTGAAGACAAAATCATTCCACAGGCCACACTGCAAAATGCTTAGGCTTCATTTCAGTGGACCAGTAGCACTGGGAGATTCTGTGTGTGAATGAGCTTGGGTGCAGCCCTGGGCTGCATGTTGTGTGGCAGTCACTTGTGTAAAGGTTTACAGGCTTAAAAGGGGCAGTAGTTAGGGGATCAGGCAGGATTTGGCCAAGAAAGAGACTGAAGTAGTTGTGGAAACACTTGAGACTTGGGGTTTTTTCCTTCTGGCCTAGTTCTCAGAATCTGTGTGTTCACACAGAAGGCGGTGTGGGGTTATGTGTGAGCAATTAGCTACACCAAAAAAGGCATCTTTGCTATTAGACGCGCTTTGCTGCGTAAGGCTGCGATTCCTTTTCCAGCAGTAGAAGCACAGGAAGCAGTTGGTTGCTCCCAGAAGGGTGAGAGCGTGTCACCATCCTCTGTCATCACCAGCACTGATGAAACCAGGTTCAGGTTGTGGTTTCTGAAGCACAGCTGATAAAATGAACCAGAAAGCTGTGAGCTGTTGAGAGTCTGCCTCAGTGAGCGTGTCTTGAGTTCTAACTCTCCCAGATTGTCCCAGGCTTTTATCTACTGATTCTCTGTTCACTGGAAGCATTTTACAAGGGCCTTTAGGTACATGACAAGGGGAATGGCTTTAACCTGCCAGAGGGGAGACTGAGATGAACTCTTGGGCAGAAGCTCTTCCCTGTGAGGGTGCTGAGGCTCTGGCACAGGGTGCCCAGAGAAGCTGTGGCTGCCCCATCCCTGGCAGTGTTCAAGGCCAGCTTGGACACAGGGGCTTGGAGCAACCTGCTCTAGTGGAAGGTGTCCCTGCCCGTGGCAGGGGGTTGGGACTGGATGAGCTTTCAGGTCCCTTCACTCAAACCAGTCTGGGATTCTGTGGTTTTCACGGGTTGGAACTGATTTACTTTTCCATTTCCAGTGGGGGAGTGAGCAGAGACTGGACCGGAGTCCCTCGGAAGCTGTTCCACCCAGGGTCCAAGGGCAGCCGCTGCGTGTGTGTGAGGACAACTGGCCCCCCGTGGGGGCAGCCGGACTCCACCGAGCACCGCGACAGAGGCGACCTGGATAACCCTCACCTGCAGGAATACAGCGGCTGCCCTCCGCTGGCCGAGCAGTGCGTCCTGAACGAGTGACTCCCGGGCCTGGATTCGAGGCCGGCGTTAGAGCCCTGCAGCGAAACGTGCTCCATGTGGGCAGCTCCAGCTGCGTTCCTCTCCATCTGCATGAAGGGACAATAGCAACCTCCTGTTATTTGTGACTCTTTAACGTGTGGAGATGGAGTTGAGAGGAGGAGGAAACACTTCAGTCGAACTAGTGGCTAAAAAATCAGCAATGGGATACCTTCTTAGTGCTTCATTCTGATGGTGTTTTTACATCTGGCAAAAAACTCTAAGATGCAAAGCCTGAATTATACTTAGCCGCTGATTTCTTGTGCAGTCAGATGATTTCATGCAACGTGTTGTGTTTTAAGGCAGCAAGGTTGTGAGCACAAGAACTGCAGCATCTCTGACCCCAGTTTACACATAGTCCACCAGTTGTTTGAACTCTGCCTGCTGCATTGCAGTGCTGATGCTCCTTCCCAGTCAATTGATTTACTGCAAAGTTTAAAGGTAGCAGGGAGAAGCCTGAATGCCTCCTACAATTAAGGTAGTTAGGATCTGGGAGCTTGTGCGTCTTGGTTACACACAAGCTTTATCAAAACCTTGGAGTACAGAAGGCAAAGGTCATAGCTGCATTTCCTCCTTTAGTGTTCGCATTAGGTACTGTGCAAAGAAGATAGTGGGAGCCACCTATGAGAATCCTCATTTTAATATTAACCTCACCATCCTGCTCCTGTGATTCACTACTTTCAGACTACTCAGATGAGGAGCTGGTACTTCTCAATAAGCCATACAAAAGCTATGTGGCAGCATGACCATCCTGCTGTAACCTGCCTCCTGCTTCCACAGCACCTCCTCCCACCTGGTACATGCCCTTCGGACTACAACCCGAGGCTGGGTGTATCCTCACACAGCCCAGCTCCTCCAAGTCTGTACAGATTTTATCATAGCTGTAAATTCAGTGATACAAGCATTGCTTTGGAGTAAGCCCTGCAGGGTAGCGACTGCAGGACATGAGGTGATGGTTGTAGGTGAGGCTACAGCTGTGGCTGGGAGCATAGAGCTGGAATGCCTGAGCACTATGCAAACAGTGCTGCAGGGCTGGTTCTGATCTTAACAGCCACACCAAAACCAAGTAAGCTGCTGCAGGAAGGAAAGACAGGATGGTGCTGCTGTAACTTCAGTTGGTTGAAAACCAATTCATGGCTTAGTCCTTGGTAGTGCTTGGAAATGCCGCAGGGGGAGTTTGTCTTGCCGTAGGGATAATAAATCATCTATTAAAGCAAACATGGAGACTCCCTCAGTGACCTGACGTGTTCCAAAAGCTCAGCTCAATTCTCCCAGGGTAGAAAAGGGTGGGAAAGAATAGTGAGAGTTACACAGGGGTCAGGTGCACAGAGGCAGTGCTCTAATAAAGCTCACCATTCACCCATACTTTCATAAGTTTTATTAATAAAAGACTAATGCATCACAATCTCACCAAGATGGTTTGGCGGGTTCCACTACTGCACTGAAGCTCTCCTTATCCTGAAGTAAAGCTGCAGCAGTTCCATCTCTTCCAGGAGGCCAAGCTGTCCACCGGTGTGTTACTCATCTGTTGAAGTGGATCTGAGCTGAGAAGTGATTTACTCCATGAACCAGCTCTGGCCTGTAGGAAGTCAGGATTGTTTCATAGGAATGATTACAGATAAGTCTAGTATAAGGCATTGGAGATGACTAGGTGGTATAAACCAGAACAGCTGTAGCAGTTCCCCAACATTAAAATGAGTACCCAGAATAACCTCAGAACAAAGAATACAAGTTGTCATGCCCTGGTGAGTGTCACAGCCCTAGTTTTCCTTGTGCCTTGTAAAGGACAGCTCGCAGAGCGGCAGCTATCTCTACAGGAGAGACTTTGTGAACAAGGTTTCTACCTCACAATCATGATCTAGTTACGCATTTTATTACAAGTAGAATCGTTACACAACAAAGTAATGCATATTGGAAAAAATACATTTTTACAGTGACTCCAGACAAACACTGCAGATAAAAATGCCATTGTTCCAAGACTCCGTTTTCTATTTCACAGAGGGTATTAGAATGGTCAGAGTTATTTGTCACTTGTACAAGCTTTGATTTTTCTGAGACAAGTTTGCTGCGGTACCCAACGCTGCTGGTTACAGGAGAAAGAGGACTTGCCTGTTAATATTTGATCTACAAAAAAATCCAGCCTCAGCATCCCATACTGTTAGAGGTTAATTTAGAAGCACTATGCAAGAAGTTGTACAAGCCAATGACAAGGAGTCATCCTGACTGACATTAAGGCATCTGTCAGCTTTTAGCCAGCAGCCTGCTCTGCTGTGTTAGTACCTTCAACACCAATATTCTCTTAGTGGCGTGAAACAGTGACTACACCTTTTTCAGATACACAAAACTTGAAGCCAGACCAGGTTTTGTGCCTGTGTAAGAGTGCTGGATGACTGCAATCCAAAGGAATCCAGGCTCAGACCAAAAAGCTACCGTATGAACCACCACAGACTTCCTGCGCAGCCCTGCTGCAGTGCCCACAGCCTGGTCTGACAGCATAACTTCCTGGGACACAAGTTTGTTTTCCATTCACTCTCTTGTTTAACACTTGGCAGACTTGAGCCCCAAGTTAATACCGCTTAAAACCAGCAGGGGTGAAGGGAGGGGGGTTTGGTCACAACTGAACTATGCTACAAAAAAGAAGAGCAGTTCTTTATAGAGTTAGAAATGTGTTGACCACTACTACATTGAGTGCCTCCGTTCACATTTGTACCCTGCAGCAGAGCATTGGCAGCAAGACTCCCCCAAACCATCAAGGGTCAGAGTTCAGACCAATACTACGCAGAGCACATAACTGAGCCCCACACCAGTTGTGTGTTGGGCTCAGCCTCTTCAGCTGAACTAGAAAAGAACAAACTTGGGGTTTGGCTCGAGTTGTGAGCTTTTCCCCTTTAACTGGCAGAAAGCTATTTAAAGTTGGCTGGAAGGAAACTATCTCAAAGGCACTTTAACATGATCAAATTTGCTGAATTTAGTTGCTTGAAACTCAATGAACACTTCAGGCTGTGTGTTAGTTTATGACTAACCCTCTCTTTCCTTTCAGGTTTCAGTAAGAAAGCTTGTAGTGTTGGCTGCAAACACCAAGCAAGGAGCATTACATGTTGTTTCCCAGATCTCTCCCAGAGTTTCAGGCAGTAGCCAGCCTTAAACCTGTCATTCAGCTAAGCTGAATTTTCACAACATCTACATTTTTCATCATTAAAAAGGTTGCTTATTCTGTTAGAACTGAGCTCCCTGTTCCCCTGCCCCTTCCACCAGAGAATCACTGAAAAAGTGATGTTTAAATGGTTCACTCATTGTATGTTGTGTGGTTTTCCAATGAAGATGAAGTCCTTGGGCTCAACCTCTACCTTTCAGTACTGTGAGCACACGCTTGGCACTCCACATCACTGCAGCTCCCAACCAAGGAGGAAGTCAGCACATGATCACAGGATACACTACAGTCAAGACTCTCACCAAATGCACTTTCTCTCCATCTAGAGACTTGCAGCCAGTGATACTCTGAAACATCAGAAAGCAACAGACTAGACGTACAATGTCTTCCATCATCTATTTCTCTGAAAAACCCCAAACGGTAGCTTGCAGTTCAGTGCTTCAGACACCATTATTTTCCACCTCGTGCCCCTAGAGTATTATTCCAGAGATGCACCACTTGTATCAGTAAGTGTCAGAGACCAGTTGTGTCAACCAGGGCTTTCTGTTGCACGACAGCAGCAGACATAAAACAGTGAGGCAAATTTCTATTATCATCCGTTATTCTTCTCTAGTGTTACAAGAGTGAGATTCCAGTTATAATATATGCATATTGGAAGATCAAAGTGCAGATCAAGTGAGACTTGATGTGAAATTCATCGTGCAAATGTCAGCAATTACACCCTCCTCTATCCTTTGCTTGTACAAGTTTGAAGAAAAACCTCAAGCAGGTCTTCCATGAAAGCAGCAGTCTGGTTTATCATCCCATCTTACTCCTTAAGACTGACAAGTCGCTATTCCAAACAGGGCAGCGTGTCACCAACTTGTCCATATTGTACACTGGAGGAGATAACAGTCATCAAATAAACGCACAGTTCATGGAGCAGAGATGAGGAATGCTGAGTTGAGTCTAAACTGGGATAAAAACAGCCTTAACATGGCATGTAGTTTTGTTTAAGCACACACGTTTTTCCTGACTGAAGCCTTTGCCCACCAGATCACAACCCTGTCTATCAGCAAAGTACTTTCCTGTTTCCTAGACATTGTGGTGTTGGATTTTTACAGATTCAGCATGTTTCAGAGAGCACAGCGAGCCTAGATTAAAATACTGCAGCTTAATCCAAATCCCTGGCAGTGCACCACCACTTCAGAATCCTTCTTCCAAGGCCAGAGGCTTAATGCTAATAGGAAGCCTTCAAATCCACCACCAGTCACCAGCAACGCTGCTGAAAACAGACCCAAAGTTAGTGTCTAGAGGTGCAGCTCATTCTGTACTGGTACGGTTGCTGAGGCTCCTGCAGCACTTAGCCAGGGTCTCCAAGCCAAAGGAAAGTGCTACTTTCCCTCCTGGGATTCATAATGCACTTCAACATTTATTGCTGTACTAACAGTACCACTACTGAACCGGTTTATAGTGTTTCTCCACTTAGCATATGCTTAGTTAGGCCTTGCAGCACACTTATGCTCATTTATACAAGTTTCATGAATTGGAAGGACTAGCAACGTAAATATGAAAGTGCAACAAAGACTTGGACAGTTCTGGCAGGTATCAGCAAGAGGATTCACTGGCTAAAACAATCCTGCACTTCTCCTGAACATGCTAAAGCTAATGAGACGTTTACTGAGGAGGTATCAAGCTGTGGATCTGCAATTCTGACTGCTTTGCATCAGATGTTGTAAAGCTTTCTGTTGTAAGGCCACAATTTTTGAAGTTTCTCGAAATGAACAGCAGTTGCAACAGCTCAGTCTAGCTTCACAAGAAGTCTTCTCTAGAGAAAGGGAACATTTATCTTTAAGACAAAGCAAAGAAAGATACCTGGTTACCCTGAAACTTAATGCCAACCTCTACTAAGCAGCCCAAAAGCCACAGGACTTTATAGTAGAGTTGCTCAGTGCAAAGCACCATGTCAAGGACAGACCTGTTCTATGTCAATTCAAACAGCCTAGCAATGTGAGCTTCCATACCCCACTGCAACTAGAAGAGGGTCTAAATTCTTTTGTCACTTGATTTCAACGTTCCACTCGAATTCCTAGTGAAGTCTATCACAGCCCAATACATTTACAGTCATACAAAGTCATTTATACCAGAATATATCGTATCAGGGTCCTTAATTAGTTCAGTCTAGTGCAGAAGACATGTATAGGCCTCCTCTTCCCTATCCAGAGGGCTTGTAAGCAGAGCTGCTGTCAGGAGCACTGACTGGGAATCCCTTTACTTCCACAGCATACTAGGAGACTCCTCCCAGAGTGAGGACATCAAAGCAGATGTTGCAAACTCGAACTGGCTTGTTCAGATCAAATTTTATGATAGGAATCTCCTTTGTTGAGCACTTATGGCAGAGCAGGCGTCCACAGTGTCGGCTGTTGGCAGAGGGGTGGAGAAAAGTGAATTCACTCATAGTGAACACCAGGGTTTTACTGTTTTCATATTCTTTAGCAATGACAGTATGACTAGAAAGGTACTGTAGCAACTGAAATGTTGTATTTTTCTTGTATCTTTTGGCATCTCTTATTTAATAATTAAATATTAATGCTAAAACCACATGCTGCTTCTGTACCAGTCACTCACCTAGTACTACTTTGACTGATGCATGTGTAGTTTCTCTGGAACACTGGCCAGAGAGAAAACTCTGAGCTTAACATCCCTCTAACACAGCACAGCTTATAGAAGATCAGACTTCTTAAGAAAAGGCAACTCATGTCAGCATCTTCAATCACTCCCACATTACACAAAGCACCCCTAACCTAAGTTGGCAGTAAGTGCCCAGATCTCTCATCTCTCAGATTAAGTCAGCCCCAGTACTGTAATAGTGCCCCAACCCCCCTTTTCTGCTTAAGCAATAGCTTAAGATGGACTCTGGGGAGACAGGTAACAGTAACTAAGGGCTATAAACCTTGCTCAACAGCTGAGGGCTAGGTGAGCATGCATCAGCTGAAATACAGCTGGTATGCAAGTATAACTAAGTCAGTCACCTTACTCCATGGACAGCCCGGCGCCTGTGGAGCTCCCCTGCACAGCAGCAGGCTGTGTGCCAGGTTTGTCCCTTGAGCAGAGACACCTCTCAACCTCCGGAGAAGCCTTATTGCATCAGTAAGTGAACTGGGAATAAGCATGCTGAAACTTGGAAATCCTCACTGAGGGATATAAAGGACTGATTGTGCATGTATAATCCTTTAGACATAAACTGTTAACCAAGTCTTGGACTAAGTCTGGATCCTGACACACCTGAACTCCTCTCTGAGAAGGAGTTTAGAACTAAGGGGGTCCTCTCTCGATTTCATAGTTCCAACAAATAAGATACTGTTTTAGTCAGATTACAAGTAACTGATCTAGGACAGGGTGGAATGTTTCAGCTGGATTACTGGTGATACACCTACATTAACATGGAGGTTTCCTAAACCATCAGAAAGAACCAGCCTAGCTACATTTGGAAGAGGAATCCATTTCCCTGTAAGCACAGCAAGATGTGTCACATTACCAGTGATGCTTTCTTGTCGTGACTCCAAATTTGGCAGTGCATTCATAGCAGTTGGAGCCATCGCACCAGGGAGGTTCTTTTGTCAGCATATCTGTCAGAGGCAAAAACCTAAAGGTAAAGGGGCTCAGACACCTCAAGTACACTGTGTTAAAGAGGCTTATTCCAGTTTTGGGTTGCATCCAGTATAATTCATTTAACTACTCCTGTAGTAGCTGCAGTCTTGGTTGTAGACAATGTATAGTTGCTTTCATCAACACTGCATTACCCACAACTATAGAGCCCAAGTTCAAAAGCAGTATCTAGGTTTTGGTCTACATTAGCTATGACACCAGCCAGCAGTTTCCATGTCTATCCTTTCAGAAAAAAGTAGTATTTGACATGTCTGCATTGTGCAACTCTTCAGTTGATCATGAGAAAAATTACTATTTGTACTATTCAGAAGTTCAGCCCCTCTGGAATTACTGTCATCCAAGACAAGTGTTCTGAGTTCCTTCCTCCTCTAACATATCTAAGAAGCACGAGCTGAAAGCACTTTCCAACTGTAACAAGTAGTACTTACCCAGCAATCTAAAGAGAAGCTGTTTTGTAGCAACTTGGTAGTTGAAGATATTGATTCCTTGATTATTATTAACCCCAAGACGAGCCCCAGCTCTCACTATTGCACGACACAAGTTAGCATTTCCCTTCATGTAAGCCAACAGGAGCACTGAAAAATAAAAGCCAGACACTTCCCTGCTAACAGAGTAGTAGGTCTTGTGTTACACTCAATCCAGAGTAAGATCTTTACTTCTTCTAAGTTTGTGTAATGTTTGTTATCTTACTGTATTTAACATACTACTGCAAATTCTTCCAGCTTTAAAAGTGACATACCATTAATAAAACTTGAGTGGCTTTCAAGTTCAATAGCCACTGAATCTCACCCACCTGTGTTTCCTTCAGCATCAGGCTTGTCCAGAGGGTATTCTGGCATGCACTCCAAGAAGAGGTCACAAATGGCTGCTGCATTATCTTTCCCATATTGTCCCAAAATATGCATTGGTGACTGGCCTCTGGGGAAAAAGAGTTGGTTATCCTGAAGTTGTGTTTACTACTACAATTACTTATCTACTCTTTGTCTTCAAGTTTGATTCAGACTTAAACAGTGCTCCACTTAACTAGCTTAGTGCATCATACACAACTGCCTGCTCTAGCTTCCTTTTCTTGGTATACATCATTTCCTCACAGTTTATACACAGCACACTCTGCAGCACACTTCACTGTAAATTCAGTGTAGAAGCACTGTAATCCAAGCCAAATACTTGGGGGGTTTTATCTAGTCATACCAGCACATATCTTAAACTAGACTGTAGTCCTTTTAGTGGGTTAAGACTATACTGATTACCTGATATTAAAGGCTTCTGCATCTACATTGCACTCTGTGAGTAGGACCCGGATATTATTTAGTCGGCCATGCATCACTGCCAGATGAAGAGCTGAAAAGTAAAAGAGAAGCTTCAGGAATCTGAAGTGCTTCATGTCAGCAGTAATCACAGCCCAATGAAACTAAGCACTCCCACTTCCCCCACCTTCCCTCTCCAAAGCACCTTCCAGCAGCTTTGATTTCTTGGACTTTCATCCCTTTCCACCTTTGATGAGCAAGCCCGTTCAGTGGGCAATCTCTACCACTAGGAGACATCATGAACAGACCTACTGAACTGTTTACAACTACTTGTAGAACTTTAGGAGTTTACCATTATTTCCATTTTCATCTACAGCTGCAAAGTCTACTCCATTCTCCAGAAGGACTGAACAAATTGTGGGCAAATCCTGCTGGGCTGCTAAGTGAAGAGCAGTCTGCCGGTGCTTAGTCAGTTCATTCACCTGGGCACCTGCAAGCAGCTGTCAAGATGCAAGAAGGAATATGTTCAAAGATGGTTTCTGGGCTATTAGCCAACAGTTTATTTCTGTGAACGAAGCACACAAGACTCCACTGTACAGAGATACTTCTAGGCCTCCAGCATACATAAATGCTATCATTACTGAGCTGCTGCAGATTGAGCTCATGTTCAAATCTGCAGAAAGCACAAGGTAAGGGTTCCTCCTTTGAAGTGAGCCAAGCTACCTAGTGACTGCTGCAAGTCAGACACGCTCATATGAAGGCTACTGATGCAGCTCAGCTAACAGCACACGCCGAGGGAACTTTATGCAAGTCAGTTGTCTTTCAGAAAGAGCGGTGTCACCTTCAGCTGACTTCTCCAGCTTACAGGGAACACGCATTACGGCGGGATGTGCGTTTTTAAGTTGAGGAAAAGCGACTCTGATACATACCAGATTACGCACAATGATCTCTGAGCCAGCTTGCACAGCCAGGTGGAGAGGTGTTAGTTTGGAGGCGTCCTGGACCCGAGAGTTTACATTAGCCTGTACACTTATAAGGAACAGCACACTCTCTATGTCTGAGTTCTGAACAGCGACATGTAGGAAATTCCGACCTTTGTTATCAACCTGTGGCAAAACGGGCACACGAAATGAAATCCATTCTACTGTAGAACAGCAAATTGTTATGTAATAGGACATATTTTCACTAAGATACTTGCTCCCTTGTCTTGAGGTGAGCTGTAGTCTTGTTCCTTCCACTCCTTGATATTAGAGACTTATCTGTAGATGTGCCTATTAAATTATCAGCTAAAACTGCCCACTTTAATCTGCTTCAGACTACTTTATTCCTACTTTATAACCCTGTCATTTCCTGACCACACACTGGAGAGTATTATGACAGACGGAAGGTTAACAGCTGCTGGAGTTAACTATTGAGCAGCAATACAGTTAAATGAAGCAAACTTGAGTCAATCTGGCAGAGAACGCTGGAGAAAGAAGCAACATGCAACCCTGCCACACTGATGCAGTGTATTCCTTTTTTAGCTTAACACCAAGTGCATGTTGTTGTTCATTTCTGCCTTGAAGCTGATGTTAAAGCATATTTGGAACTGGCTGTATTTGTAACCATGTTTTAGATTTACTACAAGAGCTCAATAAGCACTCAAATACTTTACTAGTAATTAAACTTACACATGGTAGGAAGAAACTCCTGAACAGCTGCCTGAGGTGTCACACCAGAAACCTGAAGATACAGTTGGATGTTTTATAGCTCAGCATGACGTTATTATTCGGTTATTTTAGGTCAGGGTTTCCATTTTGGATAGCTTTAGGAGACCTACGTAGTAGATCATTTTTGTACTAGTCCAGCACAAGAGTAGGGTTAGAACTTTCTCCTTAAATACATATATGCCTGTTCCTCAATTTAGTACTGAGGAGATAGGTTTGATGAGGCACTATTCTTTGATGTTCCTGCTCACAAATAGCACAAACACACCTACAGTTCCCCAATAAATCCTGCTACAGAAAACTAGCATCTGGCAAATGTCATTCCATGTGACGCACGCCACTAAAGGATAATGCAGCATTTGCTTATGGAAATCTTGTTACCACAAAATAGTGCAGTAAGTCCACCAGCATGCTTTGAATGCTCCCAGCTTACCTGTTCAGCAGCTCCTGGCTCCCTCTTCAAAATTGCTTCAGCTGCTTTGTTGTTTTTATATGTCATAGCACAAGCAAAGGGGGTCATTCCTTGCCTGTCACGGACATTTAGCTTAATATCTGGATGTGAAATCATAAGCTGAATGATAACATTGTGCTGGTTGCTAATGGCAACATGGATTGGAGTTCTTCCTTCTGCATCCTAGAAGGAAACCAGGAAGTTTGTTACATGAAGATTCAGTAATCCCAAAATCCTTTCCTCAACTCTTCAGAATCAGGGAACTTACTAGTTCTACTTTGGGCTGGGACACCAAACAGTTGCAGTGGGAGCTCAAACCCACAGTGTAAGCAAGGCAAATTGATATCCATTTCTCAAACTGGTTGACCTCAATCCTGTGCTATACAGCCATCTGAGTAGCTCAGAGTAACATTTCCCATGTAGGCAGACATTTTGGGGGCAGAGATAAGCATTCACACTTGAGCTAGCAAATTCAAATAAGGTGTTGAGTCACTTGTCTGTCTCAAGCAGCAGTTTACAGCCATGGCTGCTTTGTGACTATGTGTTCTGTCATTCATTTTGATGTCATTTTCAATAGCATCAGAACCTACAAGTGTTCTGCATTCATTTCCTCTGTTGCTATTTGTCAAGCTTCTGCTTAAGGATTACTGTGTAATCAAAGATGAAGTGCAGCTCATTGTATATCACCTCAGTTCACTCAGTAACAGCAGACACTTCCCAAACATACTAACAAAGTAGAGTACTCTGAGGTTGTACATTGTAGCTGCTCTAATGATTAATGGCATCAGAATACAGTCCTGCTGCTGCCTTTAATTCACACTTGGGACAGAGGAGTTCATTCCAATCACTACATCAGAAAGCTCATACTGCAAGAAGTTTTCTGTATCATTCTCTTTCTTCAGTATAGCTTCTTGAATTAACCCGTCACATGAGCAGATAAACACTAGATCTGGTAAAAAGGGACACGAAAATACACAGCTGAGAGGAAAGTTTGGTTTTGCTGTATTAGAGGTGAAGAATTAAATTCAAAAGAAACTCTGCAAAATTTCTCTACCTACCTGAGCATTGACATTGGCACCAAACTCCAAAAGGCACTGGATCACCTCTTCCAATCCCCAGCAGGCTGCCAAGTGTAGGGGTGTCTGTCCATCATGAGCTTCCTCTTCTCCTTCTCCATTAGGGCCTGGCTTTCGGGGACTATTCACATCACAACCACTAAAACAAACATGATACAGTCAACTTATTACATTCAATCCAGATTTAAACTGTTCCAAATAAGGGTCAGAAAAAAGTTTACAAGATCTTATCCAGCAAATGATGACACATTCTACAAAAGCACAAGTTCCTGGTTTTAGTTTGACTCTTATCAAGAACATGATGGTAATACAGATAACAGAGTGCATCTAGGATTAGCCATACTTCCAAGTGCCATCCACCCACCAAAAGTCTAATGAAGCACATACCTGTTACTGGCTCAAAATAGCATTCAATTAATTTATTCCAGGAAAATATGTACATGCACGTTAGAAGGTTTGTATTTTAGAAGGGGGCTGACCTGCGAATAAGGAAGCATGCTATCTGTTCACTGTTTTCATCAATAGCTCTATGAAGAAGTGTTTGTAAGCAGCCACTTGGTCCTGACCCCCAACAGGTTGAATCACAGCCATGCCTAACCTGGAAGGAGAAGCACAATGAGGCAGTGAAGGGTTTTAATGTCTCCAGCAGGCTCCTACTACTTTATGAAGTCCTTCACCACTGTTTCCGAAAGACTACCCCTCAGAGGCAGAATCTGAGATGCCTTATCTACTCTTATGAGAGATAAGGCCCATCTACTTGCTTTCCTATTCATTCAGCTAAACAGAGACAGCTTTTTCAGGTACTGAATTTCTAATATGTGTATTCTACTACAGAACTGCTTACTCAAGCAATGGGGCACTTCACTAAGACTTGCTCCACCCCTTTAGAAACTATAAATGAATAGATTCAGTGCTGACCCCATAAAGATTCTTATCCAATACCAGCACAAATGGTCAAGTAGTTACAAGAAGTATTTCTCAAGTCATTAGCACAGCCTTTAAATAGCTGTCTCTAGCAGACAATAACTGGGTATCAGAGACAATCTCTCAAGTACCTCCCTAATGAAGGAGACATAAGGATGTCTACTTGCATCTCTCAGATCTCCTTCGGGGAGGGGGGAGTGGGGGGGTGGAGGTGTCATCTATGCCTGAAAGTAAATAGTCTTAAAAGCATAAGCCTTTAAAGGCCTTCTTGATGGAACTTTAAGATGCAGTAGAAGCCAGCACATCCTCTAAAGCATGCTTATGAGTATTCAATTTATACAGAATCACATACAGATCATTACACACCTGCTATGGTACAGGTTGATGTTTTTAGTAGATCCTTACTCCTTCCAGGACTGGGAATCCAGATAATTTACTTCTTATTATAAATTAATTAAACTATT